TGTTAACCAGTGTCATAAAACAATATGCGTACTGTTTAATGAGGAACTTGTTTGTTCATCTAAAGTACAATAAAAAAAAAATTACTCAAAAATGTAACCCATCACATAAAACAAAAGACAAGAACCACATGATCTTATCAATTGATGCAGAAAAGGCATTTGACAAAGTCCAACACCCACCTGTGATAAAAATTCTCAGCAAAATGGGAATAAAAAGGAAATTCCTCAACATAATTAAAGGCATTTATGAAAAGCCAACAGCCAACATCATCCTAAATGGAGAGAGTCTAAAGCATTCCCCTTGAGAACGGGAACCAGACAAGGAGGCCCTTTATCACCACTCTTATTCAACACTGTGCTGGAGGTCCCAGCCAGAGCAATTAGGCTAGAAAAAGAAATAAAGAGCATCCAAATTGGCAAGGAAGAAGTCAAAGTATCTCTACTGCAGATGATATGATCTTATACACAGAAAACCCCAAAGAATCCACAAGAAAACTACTGAAACTAATAGAAGATTTCAGCGAAGTATCAAGATACAAGATAAATATACAAAAATCAGTTGGATTCCTCTACACCAACAAAGAGAACTCTGAAGAGGAAATCACCAAATCAATACCATTTACCACAACCCCCAGAAAGATAAAATACTTAGAAATAAATCTAATCAAAAACATAAAAGACCTATACAAAGAAAACTACAAGAAACTACTGCAAGAAACCAAAGGAGACCTGCATTAGTGGAAAAACATACCTTGCTAATGGATAGGAAGACTCAACATTGTGACAATGTCAATTCTACCCAAAGCAATCTACAGATACAATGCAATCCCAATCCAAATTCCAACGGCATTTTTTAATAAGATGGAGAAACAAATCACCAATTTCATATGGAAAGGGAAGAGGCCCTGGATAAGTAAAGCATTACTGAAGAAGAACAACAAAGTGGGAGGCCTCACACTACCTGATTTTAGAACCTATTATACCACCACAGTAGTCAAAACAGCACAGTACTGGTACAAAAGATACATAAACCAATAGAACAGAATTGAGAACCCAGATATAAATTCATCCACCTACGGTCACCTGATCTTCGACAAGGGCCCAAGGTCCATCAAATGGGGAAAAGACAGTTTTTTTTTAACAAATGGTGCTAGCAAAACTGGATGTCCATCTGCAAAAAAATGAAACAGGACCCACACCATGCACAAAAACCAACTCATAATGGATCAAAGACCTAAACATAAAATCTAAAACGATAAAGATCATGGAAGAAAACATAGGGACAATGCTAGGAGCCTGAATACATAGCATAAACAGAATACAAACCATGAGTTACAATGCACAAATACCAGAGGAGAAACCAGATAACTGGGAGCTCCTAAAAATCAGACACTTACGCTCAAAATACTTCACCAAAAGAGTAAAAAGACAACCTACAGACTGGGAAAAATTTTTGGCTACGACAAATCTGATCAGCATCTGATCTCTAAAATCTACAAAATACTGTAAAACCTCAACAACAAAGAGACAAATAATCCAATTAAAAAATGAGCAAAGCATATGAACAGGCACTTCACCATAGAAAACATTTAGGCAGCTAATAGATACATGAGGAAATGCTCACGATCATTAGCCATTAGAGAAATGCAAATCAAAACTACAATGAGACACCATCTCACCTCAACAAGGCTAGCATTAATTCAAAAAACACAAAATAATCAATGTTGGAGAGATTGTGGAGAGACTGGAACACTTATACACGGTGGGAATGTAAAATGGTACAACCAACTTGAAAATCGACTTGGCACTTCCTTAAAAAGCTAGAAGTACCATATGATCCAGCAATCCCACTCCTTGGAACATACCCTAGATAGCCGTCACACGAATACATATATGCACACCCATGTTCACTGCAGCACTGTTTACAATAGTAAAGAGATGGAAGCAACCTAGGTGCCCATCAACGGACAAATGGATAAATAAATTATGGTATATTCACACAGTGGAATACTATACCAATGATAAAGAACAACAATGAATCTGTGAAACATAACATGGAGAAATCTGGAAGGTATTATGCTGAGTGAATTTAGTCAGTCGCAAAACAACAAATATTGTATGAGACCACTATTATAAGAACTCAAGTAAAGGTTTAAATACAGAAGAAAACATTCTTTGATGGTAACAAGGGTGGGGAAGGAGGGAGAGGGGTATTCACTAACTAGATAGTAGACAAGAATTAGGTGAAGGGAAGGACAGCACACACTATAGGGGAAGTCAGCACAACTAGACTAAACCAAAGCTAAGAAGTTTCCTGAATACAACCAAACGCTTCGAGGGACAGAGTAGCAGGGGCGGGGGTCTGGGGACCATGCTTTCAGGGGACATTTAGGTCAACTGGCATAACAAAATTTATTAAGAAAATGCTCTGCATCCCACTTTGGTGAGTGGCGTCTGGGGTCTTAAAAGCTAGCGAGCAGCCATCTAAGATGCATCAATTGGTCCCAACCCACCTGGAGCCAAGGAGAATGAAGAACACCAAAGACACAAGGAAAGTATTAGCCCAAGAGACAGAAAGGGCCACATATACCAGAGATTCCATCAGCCTGAGATCAGAAGAACTAGACGGTGCCTGGCTACCACCAGTGACCTCCCTGACAGGGAACACAACAGAGTCCCTGATGGAGCAGGTGAAAAGTGGGGCACAGAACTCAAATTCCAGTAAAAAGACCAGACTTAATGGTCTGACAGAGACTGGAAGGACCCCGGAAGACAGGGCCCCCGGACTCTCTGTTAGTCCAAAACTAAAATCATTTCCAAAGCCAACTCTTAAAAAATTAGACTGGACTATAAGACATAAAATAATACTCGTGAAGAGTGTGCTTCTTAGTTCAAGCAGGCACATGAGTCTAAATGGGAAGCTCCTGTCTGGAGATGAAATGAGAAGGTAGAAAGGAACAGGAGCTGGCTGAATGGATACAGGAAATCTGGGGTGGAAAGGAGGAGTCGGCTGTCACCGAATAGAGTGAGCAGCTAGGGTCACATAACAATGTATGTATAAATTTTGGTATGAAAATCTAACTTGAATTGTAAAGTCTCACCTAAAGCACAATTAAAAAAAGTTAAAAAAAATTTGGAAGACAGCTACCTGGCCAACCAACTGGAACAGATCCATATTTATGCCTATTCCAAAAAAAGGTGATCCAACAGAATGTGGAAATTATCAAACAGTATCATTAATATCACGGGCAAATAAATTTTGCTAAGGATCATTCAAAAGCGGCTATAGCAGTATATCGACAGAAAACTGCCTGAAATTTAAGCCGGATTCAGAAGAGGACACAGAACGAGGGATACCACTGCTGTTGTCAGATGGATCCTGGCTGAAAGCAGAGAATACCAGAAAGATGTTTACCTGTGTTTCACTGACTACGCAAAGGCATTCGACTGTACAGATCATAACAATTTTGGATAACATTACAAAGAATGGGAATTCCAAAACACTTAATTTTGCTCGTAAGGAACTTGCACATAGACCAAGAGGCAGTCATTCAAACAGAACAAGGGGTTACTGCATGGTTTAAAGTCAGGAAAGGTGTGTGTCAAGGTTGTATCCTTTCACCATACTTATTCAATCTGTATGCTGAGCAAATAATCAGAGAAGTTGGACTATATGAAGAAGAACGCAGCATCAGGATTGGAGAAAGACTCATCAACAACCTGCGTTATGCAGATGACACAATCTCGCTTACGGAAACTGAAGAGGACTTGAAGCACTTACTGATGAAGATCAAAGCCTACAACCGTCAGCATGGATTACAAGTCACTGAAGAACTGAGTAACAAGTGAATCTACAGAAAGCTCAAGAGAGGCACAACGAAACAAGAGACAGCCTATGGATGAAGACCTGGACGATAAGCCTATAATACTAGCAACACTATTGGTAATACTCAGAAACTTCCAAATACAGACAGTAATAATCTTCAGACAGAAGATAACTTTCTCAAAATTTAAGCAAGCTTTGGAGTAACTTTCATATAAGTTAAAATAAGCATTTCTCTGTGTTTGAGAAGTTTACATCCATTAAACTGAAAAATTCTCAGCAGAAACACAACTAGTGATCTAGAAATTTTCATCCGGTGGAAACTGTACACCTAAGAACTTGAATACACAAATCTCATATAACGACAGAACCCTTTAATTTCAGACTCTAAGTCAAGACTATGGAGAACATCAACAATTAGAGGATTAAATCCCAGCTCCAGGCACAGGTGGGAGGACAAGGACCTAGACTGGGGAGTTGTGCTTTTCACACACCTCAACGCCTCAAGGCAAAAGCCTCCCCCATTAGGCGAAAAATGGGTCTGGAGACCCCACACAGGACCCAGCTGGACTCCCTGTCCCCAGCTTCATGCCTTTGTGACATCAGGAGAGCACCCACATCACCCAGGACCCCATGAACAGTCAGGTCCTTCCCCTACGAACGAACTCTCCCCCCCTTTTCTGACCCATAACACAGTGTGAGGGGGGAGCTGTGGTTTTAGAACTGCACAGGAAATGCTCCAGTGCCTGGGGGGAGTCAAGAACACTGCTCAGAGAGGTGGTACAGGGATGGCTCTGGAGGGCGGGGCTCAGCCTCCACAGCTAGAGCTGCTCCATCTTCCAGCTCTAGTCAGGAGACTCTGTCATTCAATACAGAGCACCAAGGCCCAGGGTGGGGGCGTTAACACACCACGGTGCCAGCTCTGAGAGTCACATTAAGGAAGGTAACCCCAGGGATCCAAATCTTGAAAAGTCACATGTGTATAGAGGAAGGGTCCAGTAACAGTGGAGCAGGGCCTCAGGGTCGTCGCCTAGGGCTCTGTCCCCTGGCCTCCTCTGCCACCTTTTTTGTTCATTGAGGAACCAGAGTCCCGTAGTACACAGCTGCTCCCCCCAATAATTCATATCCAGCTTCACCCACTTACGGTAAGCATAACCCAGTTCTCCGCAGAACTCACCATTTCCTTCTCCAGCTTCTGGAAGTCTAAGGGAATGTCATCTCTGAGCCCATGAAGCCACGTCAGGAAGAGGGACGGGAGTGGAAGCAGAGCACTGGGCAGTTTGGAGGCAGATGAATAATGTTTGGTCCACACACCAGCCAGAGCAGTTGAAATCCTTCCCTGTGATTTATGGATGTGCAAGATGGGCACCCTAGGTCCCCGACTGCCTGGACTGGACTCCTTCTCCCTGCACCACACCTGAGACCTGAAATGGAAGGACGGGGAGGAAACAGTATTGAGAAGCAGGGAGTGACAGGTCTCTGGCCTCCTCCCAGGCTCAGGGCCACGCTCCACCCTCAGGGCATTTGCACTGAAGGCCGAACAGGCTCCAGCCTCCAGAGCACAGGCCTGCATTCTTCATGCAGCTCCAAGGGCCTCTTCTTTCTGCCAACAAGGTCACAGACGGAGGAATTTACTTATCCCAGAGCATGGCAAGCAACCAGGCCTGGCCAGGCTGCAAAACTTCAACCTGATTTCTTCCACGGAGTCAGGGGACCAATGCTCAAGTTGTGGGTTCACCTGTGTAACATGAACACACGCACTGTTGTTTGATATTAATGTGGGTGAATTGTCTGGAAGAACATATTTTTCAGATTTTGTCAACGAAGTCATCATAGTCCATTCATTTTAAATTATGTGCAGTTAAAATCCTTCTCATTTGTGAACGCACCGAGACACAGGTCCCACCTCCGCGGCCTCCAGGAAGCAGCTGCGGCCGCGGCGCCGGGGGCGCAGGAAGCGGCCAAGAGGCGGCGGCTCCCCGGCTACAGGGAGTCCCGAAGCTCTGGGAGACCAGGGGTGCGCGGGGAGCGGGCACAGCGCCCTCAGCCCCGGGACAGGAGCTGCGAGGCAACCGCTAGCGGAGCGGGCCGACCGGCGACGGGGCCACACCGACCTCACCGCAGAGCAGGAATGGCACGATCGCGGCTGCCAAGCCAGGAAGCTTACTTCCGCTTCCGGTTTCGGGGACGCTCGGTGCGCAGCGGAAGGCTTCCGTGCGGGAACCCAGAGCGCTCTAACTCGGCACCGTGGGGATCCGTGATTCCTCCTCGTGTTTGCGATCGGCCCACAGCTGTCCTTATTTCCTCTACAGAGAAAAGCCTGGGTTTTCTTAAATGCGTATATGAACTAAAACGCGGAATTCAGTAGCCAACGATACTGAGAAAGGTAAGTCCTCTACGTTTAAGGACATTTCTTAGAAATTACATGACACTTTTGGTTACAGCTCATTGAAGAGAACTTAGTCACGTGGTCCCACATGGTAGCGAGGACTGCTGGGAAATAAAACGGTCTTCCTAGGTGACCCCAGTAAGAACTGAAAATCAGGAATTCGATGACTAAAGACCAAGGGAACAAGTATTGAGGGAAACCAACATCTTCTGTCACAGAAGTAGACAATAGAGGTATGTTTTGTTGGTACACGTGGCAGGAGTTGATGATTGATTTAATCAGCAATGACTAAGGAAAAGAGAAGCAACACTCCTGATTCCCCCTTTCCTGACCTAAGAAACTGAGTAAATGGTAGTGCCTTTCCAAAAATTGAGAAGTGAAAGGAGAGACAAGTTGGAGTCAAAGAACAAGGATTAGTTACTGAGAGCTTGTCCACACAGCCCTGAAAAAGGGAAGCAATTTATCCATTTTCCTGTGCACACATCCAGAGATGTTTTATGACCCAAGGTGTGTGTGTATAAGAGGCTGAAAGAGCATGATCTAACTAAAGTTTCTCAAGTTTAATTTCTTGAAAAATACTGTGGGGACCATGGAATGCATGTGTTAATTTCAACGCAAAGAGGGTCTGTGGGTATTGTGGAATACTTTGTCAAGTGAGCCAGGAGAGAGATTCATGCAAGAAGGCTAGAAAACAAATAGAATTTAGTACTCACAGGTGCCAGAGAGGATACTACAGCAAACATAGACACAGGGCCACACCAGGGATTGCACCCAGGGACAAAGGAACAACACATTGGGAGTGTAGAAGAGAGCTTATGTATGGCAAGAGGGTGTAGGTCTTGGAATTGGCATGCACTAAGAACTTAATAGTCAGTTTAAAAGCTTCAGGTGCTTTAGTGTGGGAAAAGCCCAGGACTAGAGAAAAAGTATCAAACCACAAGTTGTTTACAACTTACCTAGGAAATGTCAATCAACCTGGACAAGTAGAAAACCATGTGGGCCAAAAGACATTCAGTGGTGACAGACAGCAGGGCCAACAGGAGCCCCTCCTGAGGCGTCAAGAGGAGCCTGTCCCGAGGGTGCTGACGAGATCTTCTCCTGAGGGGGCAGAGGAGACTGTGCTGAGGGGGCCAAGAGGAGCCTGTCCTGAGGTGGCTGAGAGGCGGCCTGTCTTCAGAGGGCCACTAACAGAGACACTCGTGTTGGAATAAGCTGGGACATGAGATGGGCGAGAGCATTAGGCTGCCCACCAGCCACAAGAGAACTCTCATGCAACAGAGGTACACTGTAAAACAAAACACTGAAGCTGACTCCCAGTTAGGAATTTTGACTCAGGAAGAGCTAAGTCTCAACCTAAAGGAATAGGATCCTTCACCAGGGAGCCTGGAGCTACCCCTACTAGGACACTGGTTTGGGGTTCATATTCAAAAATGCTATAAGCTGAATGTACTAGAAACAATTCGGAATTTCAGTGATCACTTTGTGAAAATGAGTTCCTATTTGTGTTGTCTTTTCTTTCCTCTTTGGGGAATTCTTGTTTGGTGTTCAGGTTTTCTCACAGGGTCTGATATCTATACATCTGATATTCTGGCAAGTTAATGGGTTTTATATAGTACCTCTTTTTCTGTTAAATTGAGTTAATCTTACCAAAGGATTAATGTATATACATTTTAAGGTCCTGGGTTCCCTATTTGCTTTGTATTCTATCATGTTGTTTAAGAGTATAAGCCTGGTTTTTTATCTGGACTCAACAGACTGATGAGTTTATGATCTTTTTCTGTCTCGTTTTGTTCTGAGAGCTTGACTCTCATGTAGTAATTGTAATCATAATAATCTTTTAGTCCACTCAGTCGTATGTAGTTAATTTCAGTTCCTTGCAATTCTGGATCAGTCTGTAAACCCATCACTTTCTATGCAAGAGTTCTGGAAATCTTGATTCAGTCAAGTGGTATCCACATTCAAACACTGCAGTCTTTTCTATAAGTCCGATATATGGAATTAATTACAAAAGTAACGTAAGGTTAAAGTCAGTACAAAAAAATTAGACAAAAATATTTTTAACAATGATTAACTTTATTTTCAAAGTGCTTCAGGTATAACACATAGTAACTTGATATGTAATACCATATCGTCTGGATACTGTACTTTTACAGAAATAATGCATGCCTTCTACGTTTGTTTGCTAACCATGCCCTCCCCCCTCGAGGTATTTTCGTAAGAGTGCAATGTGATTTTTTTTTACAGTAACGTAAAAAAATTGGGATGGTGGCACTTAATACCTTGTGTAGGGAGAGCATTGTTGATAAACATAGAAGGCATGCATTATTTGCTTAAAAATATGGTATATCAAGAAAATACCAAGATTACCAAGTCCATAAACATCTAAACAGTAAAAAAAAAAAAAAAAAAAATACTCCATGGGTAAACGATGTGAATTCCCCAGTTAAACCCATTGGCTCTGATGATGCTAGACACAAAAGAATTAAAGTTGTGACCAAGCTAGCAATTAAAATAAGAAAATTATGACAGAATTTTATGCACTTGTTGTCAAATACCAGGCACACTGACACATTAATTTTTAACCTAAGGAAAATTTGGCATTTCACCTGAATTGACATGTTTCATGAAACTCATTACTCATTAAATAAACCTTTTAAACTTTCTTTGTTACTTATCTCTTATAGTACCTTTCAGGTGGCAAAAATGAACAGATTAGTGGATCCAAAAAATATCCTTTCTCTGTGGCATAAAGCAAAACTACATAAACTTAATTATACTGAATATTGATCAACTCAATTTAGTGTCATTTATTGTTCACCAAAGCCTTCCCTGCTTCCATACCTCTGCGCCAGAGTTTCTCAACTTTTCTTTATTACCCTAAAGGAGCTGTTTTAGACATTTTCTTCCTAATCGTCCCTTAAAATTAATACCGTAGCTATACTATGTATCGGTTTATGTATTTTTTTATCTTTAGAGGGCCACAATTCATTGTAATATCCAGGATATTTCTGGCCCCCAAACTCTGTGCTTTTACCTCCCACTGCCTCAAGGTAATTCTGGCCTTATTTACTCTTCCGTCCATAAAACTAGTGGTTCTCAAACTTTCTTGCACAAACACATCACCTGTGGATTTTGTTACAATGCAGATTTTGATTCTCTAGGCCTGAGGTGGGGCCCCAGAATCTACATTTCTGATAAGCTCCCACGTGGTGCTAGTCCATGGGCCACACATGGAATACTGATGCATTAGTTGTAGTTAAAATTACTATTTTATTAGCAGAGGAAATATTTTCCTGATGGTGCTCAAATACACGGTACACAAATGTTTTATTGGTGGGTAAGATGATGTCCACCTGACACCAGTTAGTAGAAGGCAAGGTGAACCCCCTCACCACTCCATTGTCTCTCACATGTATGTTCTTTATCACTGTGAAGATGATGAACTTAGAGGAGACTGGTCCTCACAACAGCTGGGATAAATGAACCTCCACACATACCTACTTCTTTCTCTCTTTTTTCCTTGGAGTAACCTGCTCTCTGTAACATATTTATAAGGGTCTCCAGCCTGGGATTAGCAGATGGCAGGATGTGCATGGCAAAGTTTTTTATCTTTCATCCAGTAAATCAAAAAGTGCTACTGGAAGAGAGGGATATTTTAAATACAAGCAGACGACAGAGATTTAGGAATTCAAAGGAGGAGTTTAAGTTCATTCAAGACAGATGAGAGTCATTGGAGACTGCAAGGTAATCAGCTGGTAAAGCAGGAAGTGATGTTAGAAATAGCTATATCACTTCCTTTAGTTGGAGACAGATATCATGACTCACTACATCCTCACATAGGCAGAAAATAAATACCTCTAGTTTCTACATCTGGTCCCCCTATGATGTGTTTATGATTTATGTAACTCTCCACTGCAGGTCTTCTGACTCCCTGTGACTAAAGATGCACCTTCCCCGCAGTGGATTCATTAGGGAGGTGAGTGGGGTGTGGACCACACTGAGTTACAGTGGTGGAGGAGGTGACACTAAAATAATTGTCTATAAAATTTTTGTCCAGTGTTTCAGCAAAAATTATTTTCAATAAAAACCTCCTATAGTTAGTGATAGTAACAAATACAGTTTTCATGGCATCAGAATTGAAAGACTCATTAACAACCTTTGATATGCAAATAAAACAACTTTGCTTGCTAAAAATGAAAAGGACTTGATGCACTTACTGATGAAGACCAAAGACTACAGCCATCAGTATTGATTACACCTCAACATATAGAAAACAAAAATTTTCACAACTGGACCAATAAGCAACATCATGATAAATGGAGAAAAGACTGAAGCTGTCAAAGATTTCATTTTACTTGGATCCGCAATCAACACTCATGGAAGCAGCTGTCCAGAAATCAAAAGATGCAATGTACTGGGCAAATCTGCAAAAAAGCAAAGATGTCACCTTAAGACTAAGGTGCGTGTCATGCATTGAACTGTGTCCCCCAGAAAGATCTGTCAACTTGGCTGGGTCATGATTCCTTGCATTTTATGATTGTGTACCATTTTGTAATCTGATGTGATTTCTTTATGTGTTGTATCAATCACTATGTAATAAGATGGATTAACAGCAGTTATACTGATGAGTTATACAAGATCGAGAGTGTCTTAAGCCAATGTCTTTCGAGATATAAAACAGAGAACCAAGCAGAGACACACGGGAACCTCACACCACCAAGAAAGCACTAAGAGGAGAGGCCGTCCTTTGGATCTGAGGTTCCTGTGCTGAGATGCTCCCAGACCAAGGGAAGACTGATGCATCACAAGGACCTTCCTCCAGAGCCAAAAGAGAGAGAAAGCCTTCTCCTGGAGCTGATGCTCTAAATTTGTACTTGTACCTACTGGACTGTGAGAGAATAAACTTCTTTGTTAAAGCCATCCACTTGTGGTATTTCTGTTATAGCAGCACTAGATGACTAAGACAGTGCACCTGATCCCAAACATCATGTTTCCAATCACCTTATATGCATGTAGAGTGAAGAACTGACGACTTTGAATTTTGTTTGCGAAGAATACTGAATATACCATGGACCACCAAAAGAATGAACAAATCTGTTTTGGAAGAAGTACAACCAGAATGCTCCTTAGAAGCAAGCCTGGCGAAGTTATGTCTCACATACTTAGAAAATGTTATCATGAGGGATCAGTCCCTGGAGTAGGACATCATACTTAGTAAAACAGAGGGTCAGCAAAAAAAAAAAGGAAGAGCCCCAATGAGATGGACTGAAACAGTGGCTGCAAAAATGGGCTCAAGCATAGCAATGACTGTGAGGATGGCAGAGGACCAGGGAGTGTTTCGTTCTGTTGTACAGCGTTGCTATGAGTCAGAACCAACTCGAAGGCACCTAACAGCAACGGCACTGTATTATTATGTTAAATATATTTTAGTATAACTAGAAGCATTTCTTTAATGCTTTTTCTACATAGAAAGTTACAACAAATACTATATACTATAACAAATATTTCACTAACGTTACATAAGAACCGTAGCTAACAATTCAAACTTACAAATCTGATGTAAAGACTTAGGAATGGAATTCTTTTGCAATCTGGGGAATGCCTGTACCGCTATAAACAATTTAATAAATCAAAGGAGGGAAGAAAGGAAAGTATTTCTTGTAGAATTTCAATTAATAAGCATAGAAGACATGATTGAACACAAAATACTACTTGGTAAACACCACAATAACAACAAGCATAGGTAACAATTACGGATACTAACATCAGTAGGCCAAAGTACGATGAAAAATAGAGTATTTGCACACTCTCAAAGTATTGCCCTATTAGAAACTTAACTAATTATAAAGGGTAGTTACCTTTACAATATGAAAGAGTGGAAGGAAAATATGAAAACAAAACAAACACTCTTAAACCAAATGTAAAATGTGTGTAATTATATGCAAAATCACAAATATAAAAACATTAAAAAATATAAAATCACATTTGCTCAAGGCTATTCCCTGAAGCCTTATTTGCAATAGCCAAAGGCATTCAGAAAGGGAAAATTTAGCTTGGATTGAGAAAGTGACAAACACAGATTAAGAAATCCCCGCAGTTACAATAAAAATGTCATTTCTCTCAAAGGCACAAAGTAGCTCTAATGACCCCTTCTTTGAGTTAGTATGCTTTCTTACTCAGAGATACTTTTTTCTTAAATCACAAAGTTTCATAAACTTCCTATCTGAAATTATAGCAGTAACGATGAAATATCTCACTTTTGACATAGTCTCTCCACTGTGAGTTCTTATATGTTGCATGAGGTGTGAGGCCTGCCTAAAGGCTTTCCCACATTCCCTACATTCATAAGGCTTCTCTCCAGTGTGAATTTTTATATGCGTATACAGAGATGAGAAATGACTAAAGACTTTCCCACATTCCTTACGTTCATAAGGCCTCTCTCCACTGTGAGTTCGCATATGAGTATTGGGAGATGAGGAAAGACTAAAGGTTTTCCCACATTGCTTACATTCATAGGGCCTCGCTCCACTGTGAGTCCTATTATGTCTAATGAGGCCTGAGGAACCACTAAAGGCTTTTCCACATTCCTTACATTCATAAGGCCTCTCTCCACTGTGAGTTCTTATATGTTTAATAAGGTATGAGGAATCACTAAAGGCTTTCCCACATTGCTTACATTCAAAAGGCCTCTCTCCACTGTGAGTTCTTTTATGTTTAGTGAGGGAAGAGGAATGACTAAAGACTTTTCCACATTGCTTACACTGATAAGGCCTCTCTCCACTGTGAGATTTTATATGTGAAGTGAGGTTGGATAAGTTACGAAAGGCTTTCCCACATTCCCTACATTCATAAGGTTTCTCTCCACTGTGAGTTCTTTTATGCATAGTGAGGGATGAGCTCTGACTAAAGGCTTTCCCACATTCCTTACATTTATAAGGCTTCTGTCCACTGTGAATTCTTCTATGTGTAGCGAGGTTTGAGGCTTGTCTAAAGACTTTTCCACATTCCTTACATTCGTAAGGTTTCTCTCCACTGTGAATTCTTCTGTGTGTAGTGAGGGCTGAGGAATGACTAAAAGGTTTCCCACACTGCTTACATTCATAAGGCCTCTCTCTGCTGTGAGCATGTTTATGTGAAGTGAGGCTTGAGGAATAACTAAAGGCTTTCCACATACCTTACATTCATAAGGCTTCTCTCCACTGTGAGTTTGCATATGTGTAGTGAGGGCTGAGGAATAACTAAAGACTTTCCCACATTGCTTACATTTATACGGCCTCACTGCACTATGAGTTTTTATGTGTACTGAGGGATCCAGAATGTCTAAAGTCTTTCCCACATTTCTTACATTCGTAAGACCTCTCTCCACTGTGAATATTTATATGCTGAGGGATGAGTTATATTTAAAGTTTCCCACAATCTTTACATTCATAAAGTTTACGTCTGTGATGAAGTTTTTTACAACAAAGAATGAATGGCTATAGGTTTTACAGTACTGTTTACATACACGATTGTGACCTCTCAGATGTGTCCGAAAGGATGAGAAACTACAGAAATATTTCCCACATTCTTTACATTCATAGCGTTTCTCACCAGTGAGTGTTGTCACAGGATTCTTAAGCGTTGACATACAAATTAAGTCCTTCCTACATACCTTACGTTTATGTGGTTTCTTTCTACTAACAATTCTCATAGGAGTGGTTAGGTGAGAGGGACAGCTGCAGGCTTCTCCACATTCCTTACCCTGACAGGTATTGCATCCAGTGTGGGATCTAGTACGAGGGTTATGTGATGAGTGATCCATGAAGGCTTTTGCAGACTCAAAGCATTCAAAAGGATTTATTTCTGAAGGAGTTATCTTTAGCACACTAAGATTTGGCATCTGGCTGAAGATTTTCCCACACTGATTTCCTTCATTACTCTCACAGAGGTTCTCTACTGTATGACTTCTGTTAAAAATAGGTAACATGCTATTGGAAATAAATTTCTTCCTAGTTTACCACTACAAAACACAGTGTACGTGCAAAGTTTTCACACTGACCTATGTTTCATAGGATAAATGAAGTACAAGAAATACTACCATTACTGTAACCATTTTTCTAAAATATGAGGCTTTCTTATAATTGTTTCCAAGTGAAATGTTTCAAATACTCAATATCCGACTCACATCTATGAAAATGTATTGTGAAAATTCTCTGAACGCAAAATTTTACATTTAGTTACATATATACGTAAATATGTACACATACATAATTTACGTACATTAACACAATTCACGACTTCAAACCAGGTCATAACAGTTCAGCAATTCCTGACGTAAAAAAGAGCAAAACATGGGTTGCAGAACAAAAAAATCTGTTGCACATTGGATTTCACCGGAAAGTTTCTACAGCCTGATGCAAGAGATTGGATTACTGGCAGGATTGTGGAAAGCGACAGACGTTCAATGCAATGCGGCCAGCTGGCATCTTTGAGCAGGGCATCACTGAATTATTTCCTACTGGGGTCAGAATCCAAAGGGCAAAAGATATGCTTACTATGCAAAGGGTACACTGACTTCATTTAAGTTGGCAATTAGTGAACCACTATGAACTGGTTTGAAGCCTTTGTATACATACATACCAAAACGAAAAAAAAAAACCTCAAACCCGATGCCATCAAGTCCATTCTGACTCATAGTAACCCCACAGGACAGAGTGAAACTGTCCCATAGAGTTTCCAAGGAGCGCCTGGTAGATTCGAACTGCCGACCAAAAGGTTAGGAGCCATAGCTCTTAACCACTACACCATCAGGGATTCCATACATATATGCATTTATGTTTACACATACATAAATACATATACATGTATTTTGGTGTCATCACACCTCAGGCCTTTCTCCTGAGGCACTGTTTTCCTTTGAATGGCACTCACCTCAAATATCTCCCCTGCTTTTTATGATCTTTAGTGCTATGCAACTCAAAGATTCCTCCTAACATGGAGGGCCAGGTGTTATTCTTCATGAATTGCACCATTACAAGTTCACCAGATAACTTTTCTCCATCAAGGTTTCGAGAGACTGACTCAATAATTCCAGTTGAGATTCACAATATGAAATAAAAAGGAAAAGAATTATAAGGGGAAAAAGATTGTTGAGAATAAAGAAAAACTTAGTCACATTTTGCTGTTTCAGCAGTATAGCAATGGTTAAAAGCAAACTTTCTAGGAAAAACATCCATGATCACTGTCATGGACTGAATTCTATCCCTCCAAAATTCCTATCAACTTGGCTAGGCCACGATTCCCAATATTGTGTTGCTGTCCTCATTTTTTGTGATCTGATGTAATTACGTGTTGTAAATCCTAGCCTAATGCCTGTGGTTATGCTCCCCTTTGGGGGTGAGTTGTCCATTATGTTAACGAAGCATGATTAGGTTATGTTAATGAGGATTAAGTTGGAATGCACCACTGCTGCTTGAGTCACACATTTTTTCTCACATGAGATAAAAGGAGAGAGAAGCAAGCAGGGTGGGGGCAGTCTGACTACTACCAAGAAAGAAGAGCTGGAAGCACAGCGTGTCCTTTAGGCCCCAGATCCCTGTGCTGAGAAGCACCTATACCCAGGGGAAGACTGAAGCCAAGACACATGGAGATCTCCAAGTAATGGTGGTCATACAGATGTTGAAAGAAAACGAAGATCTTTCCCCACAGTCGACAGAAAGAGAAAGCCTTCCCCTAGAGCTGGTGGCCTGAATTTGGACTTTTAGCCTTCTAAAATGTGACAGAATGAATTTGTTAAAGCCATCACCTGTGGTATTTCTGTTACAGTGGCACTAGATAACTAACATAAGGACTGAGACTGATGGTAACATAAAGAGGCATAAATAGGATGGCTAAGTAGAAAGATATTGGACACAATACACTTGGAAAGGATTGCTACACTCAGAAAATTAAGCTGAGGTAAGTAGGAAGTTGTATCCTCAACCCAAAAGATACTTTTCCTAGCTGACTCAAATGCAACTCACTCCATGCAAGGCTGGTCTTTCCAAAAATTCTTGCTTTCCTCGTCCTTCCAGACACGGTGGCCCTGGATGAATCCTAACTCCACTGTGCTCAGATGTTTTCCTTGCTTTTCTGGGAAAACAAATGTGTATAGCTGACATGGTGCTCAAGGAGAAATGCCTATCACGAGGAAGGAAAATGAAGAGCAGTGAACATTTCCTTGACACTGAGTCAATACTTTCCTCTTCAGGGTCTCTGAAGATGGACAGATGGGAGTTTATCTGCAGCAAAATAATCATGTCAAACTTGTAATAAATACAGTAAAACTCTCTACAAAGCACAAATCCCTCAGTGCCCCAGAGTGACCCCTGACGTAACGCTTATACTTACAGCACTTAAAGAGCCTCAAGGCATTTAATCACAAGAGAAATGAATACTCACTTTAATACATAGAGCTTTATGTTCATGGGGAAGGTAGGATGTCAGGATCTGTGAGCTCCACAGACCAAGGAACCGTGCCTCCTTCATTTAACAATTTATTCTCATTCCTCAGCCCAAATACTGGAGCAAAATCAATGAGTAAAATATTATTGTTCACTGAAGGAAAAAAAAAAAGTTCATTCTTACCAATTGCGGCCAGGCTTCTGAAGGTTTCCCTCATCACATCTCTGTAGAGTTTCTTCTGAGCAAGATCCAGCAAAGCCCACTCTCCCTGGCTAAAGACCACAGCCACATCTTCAAAGACCACTGTGTCCTAAAACATTCAATACACTCTGGATCAGCAAAGTATCACACACTGCAATTTGTATAACAACAATGGGTGAGGCTGACAGTCCCGGGGAACTGTGAATTCTTAGAGATTTGACACAAGGTTCTGTATTCTACCAAGGGCTACTCTAGAGTATAGCCATCAGCCTCGTTACTTCACTGACTACACTCACTTCCTCACTGACTGCATCCTGTCTCCCACTTCCAACACAATGAAATAATCTCTCCACACTTTGTGACTAATTGCAGTCTTACTCCTCTCTATGGTCTAGAACAGTTAGCAAACAGCAGAAATTAGAGAAACGCCCTCATTCAGATAATCACTTCCTTGTGAACAAACAATTACACCTCTTTCCATAAATCCCACCAGAACACTCAACAACACATAAAGCAAAGGTGTTAGTAATTGGGAAACACTGCAGAATGGCAGTTTTTCCTTTTGCCCCTCACAGCCATGGGAGGACCAAGGTCCCACACAAACAAACTGGTAACCCAAGGCCCTCAGCTGATTATATTTTCTTGAACTCTAGGAGATCAGGAAGTGACAGGTCTATCTGCTGAAAAAAGAACAATTCTTTGGAGAAATATGAATTTTTGCATGTCAGTCACCTATTTTTCAAAAATTCAGTTGTTCTATCATCCTATCTGTCCCTTTCATACAGACAGGCAAAGATAACTGAAGTTAAAAACAGCTCAGGTGAGACAGGAAACATGATAATCCAGATTTCCCCACAATTCTAGGATTTCGAGACCTGACGCAACTCTACACCAATTACATATTAGTGACTGCTCCCCTCAACAAACATAAATCATACCCCCTCACACACACTGTCATGTTATCAGATGACAAAGAGCATTACCTCTGCAGAAACAAGAACAGCATGCTCTTGTGTTGACAGAGAAGAGGTTACAATTCCCATCTCGTAATGACTGCACAACACGATAATTGGTTTGACCAAGTTATACGTGTAAACATTACTAAGTTAATAAATGATTTCTTATATACAATTTTTACCTCAAAAAAAATTAATTTTGTAAGTAAGTTGAAGTGCAGACGGTTTACCTGTTAAATTGCCACGGAGCCTAGGAAACAGAGACTTACACACCAGTCCTCTAGATGCTCCATTCCAAAGTTCCCTCACGTTTGCCGCCCCTAGAAGGCAAACTATGACTACCTGAACCCTGACCACTGGAATCCCCTGGTCAGTAAGAGTGACCTGTGAAAATAGCACCAATCCATTGGCTTCCTCACGGAGTAAGAAAAGGCCGCTAAATACTCCTGTATCGCTGTCTTAGTTATCTAGTGCTACTGTAACAGGAATACCACAAGTGGATGACTTCAACAGGAGTTTATTTTCTCACAGTTTGGTAGGCTAGAAGTCCAAATTCAAGTGCCAGATCCAGGGGAAAGGCTTTCTCTGTCGGCTCTGGAGGAAGGTCTTTGTCATCAATCTTCCCCGGACTAGGAGCTTCTTAGTGCAGGGACCTCCAGTTCTTGGGAACCTGGTCATCTTCCTGGCCATCACCTTGGACTGCCATCTCCACATGCCTGTGTACTTCTCCAATCTGTCCTTTTCTGACACGTGTTTCACCCGTCGTAGTCTCAAAGATGCTGCTGAACATCCACATGCAGAACAGTCATTACCTATGCAGGCTACATCATGCACATGAGCTTTTTCACAATTTTTGGACTTTTAGACTATTTGCTTCTGATTGCAATGGCCTATGACTGCTTTGAGGCTAAGTGTCACCCATTGCACTACACGCTCTTCATGAACCACAGGTTTATCAGCATGCTGGGGGCCCTTCAAGGTAGTTTGACTGTGTTGCCACCTCCTTTCTGCATAGTCATTGAAATCCCACACTCTTTCTGAGAACTCCCTGAGATCTTCAACCTTGCCTATTTCAACACCTTCATCAGTAACATTGTGTTATATATTGTAAAAGGTGTCATGGACTCTTTACTCTCACTGAAATTCTTTTCTCATGTGCACAAATTGTTTCTATAATGAGCATCTCAAGAGAACAAGGGAAGTGTCTTAGTTATACTGTACTGCTGTTAACAGAAATACCACAAGTGGGTACCTTTAACAAACAGGAATTTATTTTCTCACACTTTAGCGGGCTAGAGGTTCAAATTCAGGGCTCGGGCTCTGGGAGAAAGTCCTTGTCTCTTCTCAGCTTCTGTTTCTCGGTTCTGTGGTGATCTTCATGTGGAGTGGCATCTTCCACTGTCTATTCTTGCTTGCTCAATCTGCTCAAGAGATTGACTTAAGCAAGTAAAGTTCTCCGAGATTTCAAAATGATTAATACTGCCTCATTAACATAACAAAAACATTCCACTCTGTGATGGTTAGGATTGTGTGTCAACTTGGCTGGGCCATGATTCTCAGTGTTTTGGCAGTCATGTAATGTGATCACTTCCCTGCTGAAATGTGATATGTGATCACACTCATGATGAAATCTGCTGTGAGTAGCCAATCAGTTGAAAAGTAGTTTCCTTGGGTGTGTGGCCTGAATCCAAATATAAGCAGATGTTTGGGCAAGGCTCTAGGGCTTCTGCTCACTCTGGATCCTACAGCTGGCTTCTGTTCATCTGACCTCCAGTTCTTGGGACTTGAGCTAGCAGAGTACCTGCAGTCTTGCCTGCCAATCTTGGGATTCGTCAGTCCTCACAGCCTGTGAGCAAGAGCCCTGCTCTCCGACCTACCGATCTTGGGTTCGCCAGCCCCTACAGCTACGTGAATCAGGAGAAGCCTCTATCCTGATCCACGGACATGGGATGTTCCAACCTCTACAACAGCGTGAGCATTTTCTTGATATAAATCTCTCTATGTACACATACTTATATGCTTTACTGGTGTTACTTCTCTACAGAACCCAGCCTAAGACACAC